CTGCTCTCTTGGAACCAGCTCCAGCTTCTGTTCAGATCAGGCAGATAGTTTGCCCAGCCAGGGTTACCCATCATGGGCATCCTGGTTCCTGAAGAGGCACAGCCACTTGACTCCTCTCTAGCCAATGTGATGCTATTAGGAATATGTTCAACTATCAGGGAAAACCATTTACTTCTCATCTCAAAGCACAAAGTGGCTGGTCCAGACTGGGAAAGAGTTCTGCTCCTAGACCCATCATTCCAGTGAGTGGCCCTTGTCATCACTTTCCAAGATGGCCAGCAGGTGCCTGGTATGAAGATGGGATAAAGATGTGGTCTCCAAGGAAGGGTCTCTCAAAGAAGATACTTGGATGGATACTTTCTTGATTATTCTTTGGCCAGTATTTAGTTAATTGGCCACATATAGCTATGAGGGGGAGTGGGAAAAAGACTCTTTATTATGGAGGTCCCATGTGCTCAGGTAAGATATGATTACAATGTAAAGAAGATAACTAACTTGGGGGCACAATTAAGCATACATTTCCACTTAGCTGGATTTACTGCAAAATTGAAAGGGCCAATCTGCTGCAGAGGCTAATATCAAAGACTGTTCTTAAAGAAAAAGAGAATTCTGAGCATAACTAGCTTCAGATCTTGGTTTCTAATACCATTCTCCAATAAAAGGCACCAGGCAGGATCCCTAGGAGAAATGGACTGGAGAAGTAAATATTCAAGATGAGCCTAGGAGCACCTGAAAGTAAGGAAGTCCTCAAAAATAAAAAAACAAACAAGCCTCTCCATAATAATTGGGGTATATCCAAGGGACACAGAAGCCAACTAAAAGAGATCCCAGTGCCCAACCTGGAATAAATAGAGTAAAAAAAAATAATGTTGTCTTAGATGGTAACCCAAAATACATGTCTGTAAGTCTATGTTGATATAAAAATTTCAGGTAATTTATGTGGTTACTTTGTATGCAGGAAGGTAGAGCATAATTCTTGCTCCTTGCAAAGAGTACAGTATAGATACAGAGGGTTTTTTTTTGTGTGTGTGTGCTGGAATTGAACTCAGGACCTTGCACCTACTAGTTAAGTACTCTACCACTGAGCTACATCTCCAGTCCTTTTTGAGACAGGGTCTTGCTAAGTTGCTGAGGCTGGCCTTGATTTGTGATCCTTCTGCTTCAGACTCTCGGGTTGCTGGGATTACAGGCATGTGCTGCCATACGCAGCGAAGGAGAGTAATTTTATAGTGGAGACAACTGACAAGCACTACCTCAACCAGGTGATCAAGTCAACACCAACAGTTATAAATCATGTCGACAGTATGTACTTGTTATGTTTGAATTTCTTCTCCAAATTCATGTGCTAGAACCTTGATTTCCAATGCAGAGTTGTTGGGAGGTAGACCGTTAAGAGGTGTTTAGATTAATGCTATTACTGTAGGAGTGTGTTCTTTATAAAAGGACAAGACTACAAATAAAGGACAAGCTTGGCCCCCTCTTGTGTGCTTGCGTGCTCTCTCCTAGTGACCAGCAACTCTTGCCATTCTTAGGAGAGGCACATTCTCTTATATTTCTAGGCTTATGTGCGCTTGATTCCTCTGCCTGGAATGCTTACTGCTCCCGGAAAATACCAACTCCCATTCAGGTTTCAGCTCAGGATGCATAGTAGGCAGAATTCATGATATCCCCCAGGATCCCTGCCTGCATAATCCTCAGTATTGTGAATACAATGGATTTTACTCCTGCGATTAAGTGTGTGATATGACAGAGTTGGCTTTAAGATTACCCAGATAGGCCTGATCTAACCATATGAACTTTTTAAAAACAGAAAGTTTTCTCTGGTTGGTAGCAAAAGAGGAAGTCAAGAGATTTGATGTAGAGGCTTGTATGACACATAAGAATTCTCTGTTGCTAGTGTTGAGGACAGAGGGAGCCATATAGCCAGAAATGTGGGTGGCTTCTATGAGCCAAAAGCAAGCCCAGGAAACAAGAACCTGAATCCTTACAACCATAAGGACCTGAATTCTGTCAACAATAAGAGTGAACTTGGAAATCTGGGTGTGGTGGCACACATTTATGATCCCAGCTACTTCAGAGGTTGAGGCTCATGGTCCTGGGTTCAAAAGAGTGACTTTGGAAAATCATCCCCCAGGCCTCCAGATGAGAATTAGCCCAGCCGACACTTGTTTCTGGTTTATGACAAGCTTGAGTAGAGACTCAGCCATGACCCTGTGGAACTTTCAGAAGTATAGAACTGTGAGCTAATCAATAGCTGTTGTTTGAAGTTGTAAGTATATGGTATTGTGTTATGCAGCAACAGAAGACTCACAAACCATGCTTCCTCTCTGGAATCCCCTATGCCCCAGACACACCTGTGACATCTTCCTCTTTACTGCCGTGGCATCCAATACCCATCCCTGCTACAGTGCAAGTCATTCTGTGTGCTCTCCTTACCAGATTCTTAGTCCGTAGGAGAGAGGGACTCTGTTATTTATCATGGCAAGCCAAGGCATAGCAGGAAGGCAAAAACAAACAAACAAACAAAAACAAAACAAAACATTCACTGAATGAAGTTTACATTGAGAAAAAAAATTCAAGATCATTAATTTGTAATCATATATACCAAAATAACCAAGTATGTCAGAGATTTACTATCTAAGCAATAGTAAAAGGTACCAGTATAAAAAGAGAGTGGAGATCCGGGCATGGTGGTGCATGCCTCTAATCCCAGCAGCTGAGGAGGCTGAGGATTGCAAGTTTAAAGCCAGCCTCAGCAACTTAGCGAGACCCCTAAATAATTCAGCAAGAGCCTGTCTCTAAATAATATATATATATATATATATATATTTTTTTTTTAAAAAGGGCTGGGGATATGGCTCAGTGGTTAAGTGCCCCTGGGTTCAATCCCTAGTACCAAATAAATAAATAAAAATTAAAAAGAGAGTGGGGAAAGATTAGCTACTATAAAATATCCACATGAGGTGTTTCTAAGGAATCCAGAAGTGAATGAAGTCCCTACAAGTTGTGGGTGAGGGGAGGGAGTGGAAGAGTGAGCAGAGGTATGAGGAAAAATCTATCTCAAGATTACTTGGTAAACAAGTACATATTTATTGAATGCTTGCTATGTGGTCATGCCAGGCGCTCTGGCAAACAAGGGAGAAGTTTAAGATTCAAATGCTATCCTGGCTGGGAGTGTAGCCAGTCAAAACTATCCTTAAAGATTCTAAGACCCTCCCTCCCTTCTGTGCCATACAAGTCTTAGAATGCTAGAATCAAAAGGAATCTTACAAAACTTTTTGAGATTTTATGTGTACATAAGTTTAAAAGACTGGGGTTGTGCTCAGCGGTAGAGCGCTTGCCTTGCACATGCAAGACCCTGGGTTCCATCCTCAGCACCACATAAAAATAAATAAGTGAAATACAGGTATCATGTCCAACTGCAACTACAAATAAATATAAAAGAAAAGACTTCCACTTTTGAAACAAGTGGGAGCAAACTGCTTTTCCTTTTAGCTCTGTATTTCTGAGTTGCACATCTTTGTTCCTGTGCTGTTGACACCTCTGCTAATGGGTCTCTAATAAAAATTCCTGGAAGGGGACTCAGACATTTCGATATTACAGTACCCTCTCCTTCAGTCTCCGCCTCATCCTAGACCAGGATCAGAGGTGGAGCAACTCCTTACCTCTGGGCTTGATGTGTGCAGCTCCCAACTCTCTCATTTCAAGTGCTGGAGTAGAAGTGAGGTTTGGAACAAGCAGGTAAGGGGTGAGATCTTGGTCCAGAAACCAAGTAGACAAAGAATAGGGAAGAATGGTACAGGACATTGCAAAAGGTGTTTAAGCAAAGGAGAACAGATGGGGTGGGAAGGATGCTTTCTGAATGAAAAGGATAGAAAATCTCAAATGCAGGTTATTAACACCACGGATATTCTGATTATTTTGCATTTTATCCCGTGGACGACGGGGCACCAGGGAAAGATACGGTGAGAGATTCATGTTTTAGTCTCTGCCCCAGATGTGTGTGTGTGTGCCTGTGCGCATGTGTCCGGGGGCGGGGTGGCCGTGTCGGCTTCTCTCTCTGGGCTGAAGTTTGCACACCTGGTAAACCAGTGAAGTAACCCCTGCAGGGCCAAGCTATCACAGTGACAAGAACTAAACTGAAAACACATAAAACTGAGGCGGTCTCCCGGGGGTGGGTTTCAGGCTAGGTGGCAAGTCCTTCAGGGAAGAATTCTGAAACCTGATTCACAAATTTAAGAGGCAGACGGCTCCTCGCCTTGCAAATGAGCTGCCGCGGATCCACCGTCTTTCACTGCCCCTCTGTTCTGCTGCCATCCGGATCCGCCCGCGAACCACGTAGGAGACGCTTCCCGGGCTCCGCTTTGACGTCGCAGATACAGCACAGGCGCACGTGCGAGAGGACCAGGGTGCTGGTGTGTGGCGCTAGTAGGCCGGCGCCAGCGGATGGAAGCCAGAACCGGGAACCCCGCGGCGCTCGGCGGGTGGGGGACCCAGACGTGTGCGCAGTCACAACTGGCCACTGCGCAGGCGCCGACAGGATACCTTCGTTCGGGCGCGCGCCCGCGGCGGGTTCTGTTCTCGGCGGGCCCAGGCTGCGCGCGCACGAGCGAGCGGCCGTGACGTGCGCCGCGTTACGCCCGACGTCACGGGTCTGTGTGTAGTGGCGGCCGGGCTGCCCGTAGCGGCGGAGCCTGGCAAGGGTGGTGCGGCCGCTGGGCGCAGTGTTCGGGGTCGCACGGCCAGTTGCGGCGACTACGAGGACCACGACTCTGACGTTACGGGGACCCGGCCGCGGAGTCGCCGCTTCTGCCTCTTCTTTGGTCTCCAGCAGCGTCGGCCCTCGGCTTCCTCCTTTTCTGCCGTCCTCCCCGCGGGCCTCGGGACTGCTGCGACGAGAAGCACCCAGGGGCGTGAGAGGCCCCGGCCGGGTCTCCATGTGAAAGAGGAACGGGCCTGCCACCGGCCCGCGCCCGACTCCTTGCGCGCCCCTCCGGTCCCCCGGGGCCCCGCGGGCTCCCGCGACCGGGGGCCGCGGTGACAGGCCGCGCGGGGGCGGAGGGGCGGGCTCGGCGGCGGCCGCCCCTCCTCGGGCCTGCGGCTCCCTAGGTCCCTGCGGAGCGCCGGTGAGTGTGTGTGTGGGTCTGTCTTTTGGGGGCTGCGGGCCCGGCATGGGGCGGAGAGGGTGGTTGACGGTGGCCTGTGCGCTGCTCCGGGGCCGGGATTTCTTCGGGTGACGGGCCTGCTCCGGGAGGGTGGACCTCGGGCCCCCAGCATCGCATCTTGAAATCCCGATTAGCTTCAAGTAGGCTGCTGGTCCGTGTAGCTGTCAGACAAGTACTCTGCCGGGATTCTTGTCGCAAGGTTGCCGCTGATCCCAGGGGCTAAGCAGAAATGTTACACGCTGTAAGCAAAAAACTGCTTGTCTTTGCATTGTCACAGTGTGATAGTCTATCGATTATTGTTTCTCTCTTCTCTCTCTATGGAGCATTTGGCTAGAGCTTATGCCCGGTGGTTGTGTGTTATCTCATTTCATCTTCCTAACCCTGTGAAGTGGGCACGATGCCTTCCCATCATACAGATTAAAAACTGAGGCTCGGAGAAGTTTAAGGCATTTATTTGCCCAAGGTCACGCAGCTAGTAATCGAGGAAGCCGTGATTCAGATATGTAGATGGACTTTTGTAGGACTGTATTTCTTTGGCTTGGAAAAGTAAGTATGTGAGGATGAGACTGGCTGGATATTTTCATCCTGAGCGTAAATTCTAAACACCTAGATAGTTTACTTTTCCCTGACGTAGGCTGTCCGATGTGTTTTGCTTCAGCCTTGCCAAATTGTTTTCATGATTAAAAAAAATATATATATTACTTGTAAAAGGTGGCTCCAGGCACCTTCACCTTTTATGTGGTAGAACTGGACAGGAAAAAAACTATATATTCTCCTCTTAGAAAAAAGAAATATATTTGATGAAACCGCACTTTTCTTGAGAAGTTACAATTTTACTTTTGCAGTTCTTGATGCATATACGGAACTTGTATTTGGGTTATTTGCTTGAGATTTCCTTATTGCAAAATTTGTTGCTGGATATGTGGCAATGTCAACACACGTAGTAATTTTGAATTGTCTTATGCAATGTTTCTGAGTTTAATGTCAACATTTAATGTGTAGAATATTGCAGGAAGTTATCTTTTGATGGTGTGATTTTTTTCATTAGTGCAGTACTACTAATCAATGTTTTATAAGCTAACTGAAAATTCTAATTTTAGCGTTTTCTTGTGCCGTTTTTTAAACTGTGGTTAATGAAAAAGTAGAGCACAGAGTTCTGGCTATGTTGATAAATTCTCTTGAGTAATTGGAGTTTCATTCAGTTGCAGATGTTTAGGAAATCTATTTATGCTGTGTTATAATATTCTATAATTTTGTTAGTATATTATCAGGTTGAAGAAAATTTGTAGTTGAGTATCTTTGTAATGCTTGTAAAGAAAAGGTAACTTTATAGAGTTAACAGGTGAATGGCAATAAGTATATTGCGATGTTGTTAGGTTAAAATATGACCATGTCGAATTTTGTTGAATTGGATTGAATTATGGTTTAATCACAGAATGGTTATTTAATTGTGCTCTTGTGTTTTGAGAGAACTAGCTGTTAAGGACTTATTTTAAATAATTGTTTTTACATTATAAGCTGAATTGTTTTGGGGGGGGGGGTACTAGGGATTGAACTCGCGGGCACTCAACCGCTGAGCCACATCCCCAGCCCTATTTTGTATTTTATTTAGATACAGGGTCTCACCGAGTTGCTTTTAGCGCCTCACTTTTGCTGAGGCTGGCTTTCAACTTGATATCTTCCTGTCTCAGCCTCTTCAGCTGCTGGGATTACAAGGCATGTGCCACCACACAATGTTTAAACTGAATCCTTTAAGCATTGAATCTTTAAAGCTTTTGTTTTTTAAATATTTTTTAAGCTGTAGTTGGACACAATATATTTTATTTATTTTTTGTGGTGCCGAGGATTGAGCCCAGCGCCTCACATGTGCTAGGCAAGTGCTCTACTGCTGAGCCACAACCCCAGCTCCATCGTTAAAGCTTTTTAGGTGGTGCTTTTTTCCTAGTTTGTTTGTATTACAGGGGTAAACCTATATTTAATAGGTTATTAAAAAGAAGTTATGTTTGATAATCTTTAGTTCCTACAGTTTTAGTTAAGATTGATCTTTTTGCCTTGTAGAGTTGAAGCTCTCTAGGCACCCCCCAACTTTTTATTATGAAACAATATCAAGCGCATAGAAAATTGGTAATAGTGAACACTCTTATGATGATCCTCTAGATTCAACATTTGTTGATATCTTGCCATATTTGTTTTATCTGTAAATACATGTATATTATTTTTGACTGGACCATTAAAAACTAAGCGATTGATATTATGACACTTTATCCCCACGTCTGTCAGTATGTGTCTCCTAAAGATAAGGACATTTTCTTAAATAGCTAAAATACTGTTATTGTTAATTTCTTTTAGGTGTGATGATTCTTTAGTGTAATCCAATAGCCTTCCATATTTAAAACTTTTATACTAAAAAATCTTTTCTGGCTTTCTACATTGTCCCTTACCAAACCAGGAAACCAGGATCCCATCAAAGTTTACTTGTTGCATTTGGTTGTTAAAATTTCTTCTAATATAGAACAGCCTCACCCAGCTACTTTTTTCTTTTGGTGGTACTGGGGATTGAGCCCAAAGGTGCTTTACCATGGAGCTACATCTCTAGCCCTTTTTTGTTTTTTGAGTCTTGCTAAGTTGCTGAGGCTTGCTTCGAACTTGTGATCTGCCTGTCTCAGCCTCACAAGTCACTGGAATCATAGGCATGCACAATCATGTCCTCCCTTCTTTTAAAATGACATTGGTATTTTTTAAAACATCAAAAAACAGTTGTCTTATAAAATGACTCTCATCTTGTGAAATTATGTCATTTGCAAGAAGATGGATGAAACTTTAAGAGCATTATTTTAAGTGAAATAAGCCAAACTCAGAAAGTCAAGGATCCTGTGTTTTCTCTCATACATAGAAGCTAGAGAGAAAAAAGAAAAAAATATATGTGTGTGAGGGCTCTCATGAAAATGAAGGGAAAGAGTAGAGGAAAGGGACCAGGGGAGGGGAAAAAGGGAGGAAAAGGAAATACTGGGGAATGATATTGTCGAAATTTTATTGTTTTATCATGTGCACATATGAATATATAACAGCAAATCCTACTATCTTGTGTAGTTATAATGCCCCGATAAAACGTGGAAAAAACAATTCACATTCTGAATTTGTTATAAGTTTTCCTTTCATGGTGTCATTTAGCTTGTTCCTCAATTCCCCCATACTATCTATTCCTGTAAAGCATGCTTAAAGGGTTGATTAGTTTCAAATTAAAAATTTGGGACAAGAATTCCTAAGTGATGATGTATACTTCATATTGCCTTCCATCAGAAGACATATACTGGTCTGAGGTTGTGGCTCAGTAGTAAAGCACTTGCCTCACACAGATGAGGCACAGGATTGAATCCTTAGCACCCATAAAAATAAATAAATAAAGGTATTGTGTCTATCTACCTAAAAATATTAAACAAAAAAGATACTACTTATTCCCATTATTTGTGATGCTGTTTGTCTAATTTGTTGTGGGGATAATTAAGGTAAGGTCTATTTCTCACTGCAATTAGCATGTAAACTCTGACATAATAAATTAGCACAGTAGTGCTAGCCTGTTCTTCAATAATCTTTCACCTAACAGTTGTAGGATCTGTTGATGATCCTTGTTGGGTGAGCTTTTGAATTTCAGGTTAATAATCTTTTGTTATAGATGGAAACAAAAATCACAGAAACTGTAAAATATCTTGTGCAGCTACATTAATTAGAATCCCATTTTATGGGTTTTTAAGATTTTTAACGATGAATCTAAGGTATCTTTTATTACAAGTTTTAAAAGAAACCTGGTTTCAGAAAAATGGGAAACCAGATTTCTTTTAAAACTTGTAACAGGAGATATCTTAGATTCATCGTTAAAAATGTATACTCTTAAAAATTATGTTTAAATTTTTCTCAGTCAACATTTGTTGCACAAGAATGGCCAGAAATAGAAGGTAAGATTAGATCTACTAAAAAACATTTTGAGGAGATTGTGTATTTTTGGTGTATTGGTAGGCTTTTCTAACTGGACTGAGATCTGGATTCTAATCTTTTTTTATCTTTTGTGATGCTGGGGATCAAACCCAGGGCCTCATATCCATGAGGCAAGTGCTGTACCATTGAGTTACATCCCTTGCCTCTGAATTCTAGTTTTAATTGTATTACTATGTGTAGTTGAAGAATTATAAGTTTTGGATTGGGGGTTATGTAGCTCAGTGGAGGGTAGGCATACTTGAGGCCCTGGGTTCAATCCCCCTACACCAAAAAAGAAAAAAAAAAAAACAAAGGAAGAGTTACATGTTTTTAAACTTTACTTTGTATTTCATTTCATGATGATTATGTTAGTGAACATTTATGAGTAAAAAATGAATTAATTTCTTTTTATATATGTATTTGTTTTAATTAGTAGAATGAATTAATTTCTAATGATGAGATATGTTAATTATATTTAGAGATAAACCTCACTTTTATTAAGTTGGATATAAGTAAATCAAATACATATAACATAAAATTGATTTTCCAACTGAATAACATTTAGTAGATTTTTTTTTCCTTGTTTTTGTGATCTTCTTGTCTTGGCCTCCCTGCCTTAGCCTCCTAGTAACTGGGATTACAAGTGTGTGCCTCTGTGCCTGGAAGTAAATGGTTGTTTTAAAGAGGGTTTCATGATAGAATTTCCTTAAGTAACCCATTATCATTAAAAATATGATTTAATTCATGAAGCAGTTTACATGAAATTTTTTCACTATTTTTTTTTTTTTGGTAAATCAGGATAAACTATATATATGGAAACAAAAAATTTTCCCTTTATTCCCAAAAGTACTCCTTTAAAGAATGTAATTCACTTAATCCCTATACCAACCCAGTGAGTTACTATTATTATATCTATTGCAGATGAGGAAACAAAACTCAGGGACAATAAATAACTTGTCCATGTTTCTATATCTTGTCTGTGATGGAGC